CTCCAGCCTGCGCCGGTGAGACTGAGCCGTTATAATGGGGAGATCCCATGGCAAATGTTTGATGCCCAGTTCCAGATGGCGGCCTGGGCAAACGGCTGGTCTCAGGTGGAGATGGTGGGCCACCTCGCCGCTGTCCTGGAGGGGAAGGCCTGTCAGGCGTTGCTGGATGTACCCGGGGACCAGGGGAACAACTACGCAGTGTTGGTGTCGGCCCTCCGGAGGCGTTTTGGCAGGAGAGGGGAGGTGCTGGGACTGCTGCGGGCATGGTTGGGCTAACACTGCTGCCTAGCGGGAGAGCCACTGTGTCCAGTCGCCGCAGACGTGGCCTACTTAGCCCGCCAGGGTTTCCCTACTCTCCCAGAGGAGGCCCACCGGGAGATAGCGCTCCGGGCGTTCCTCTGGGCTCTGGCGCCGACTGAGGTGCAGCCCCACGTGATGCTGGCCGCACCGGAAAGATGGGGAGGAGGAGACAGCCAGCGAGGCACTACTGGGGGAGTGACAACGGCTGGTCATCTGCCACTGCTGTGGGGAGAGGGGGCACATCGCCCGGGAGTGCCAGGTGCTGGACCCCGGGGACTCCAGAGGCCGTTGGGAAACAGGTGCGGGGAGGCCTTACAGGGGGAAGGCCGCCCTTGAGCGACGCTACCCCCGCTCCGGAAAACCAGAGGGAGCGCTTCACCCCGCCTGCTGTGGGAAGGGTTGGCCACAGCCGGGGCTTATTTCTTCCCTGCCTCATAGAGGGCAGACCCTGCCAGGCCCTCGTCGACACCGGTTCGACCATCACCCTGCTGCGGCCTGGTGTCCTGCCTGGCACCGAGGCAGCCGGACCCCCAGGGCACCCCCTGTGCACTTTGGGGCTGCGAGGGCGAAACACCCCTTCTACCTTGCCCCAGTCTGCGAAGACTGTATCCTGGGGTTGGACTGGTACTTACTGTACTGTACTTAAGTACTACTAAAAAAAAAAGGGGGTTTTGGAGGGGGGTGGGTGTCTTTCTGCAACTTGGGGGAAAAAGCTTCTCCCATATTATTTGATACACAACACAATATTGTGTTTTTGGGGAAAAACACAATGACCCAATAATGGAGGAATGCGTTCTTTATTGTGTTGATGATTATGATTCCTTCTCCAGTCTCCCTCTGCTCACACTTCCTCTTTGGATGATATTCTTGTATTTATCTTGACCTGCCGCCAGATCTTCCCATTGTGATCCAGCTAATGTGCAAATTACTGGATAAATACAATATTACACAACTACACAATGGCTTAAAACTGGAGCTCCACTTCAGGGCCAGAATAATGTAAGTTAAATAATGCAATACATTAGTGCTCATTCACTTTTTATACTTTTGTCTGATTTTGAGATATTTCACTGCATTTCATGAATAACTTTATTATTTATTAGTGATTATTAGTGATTCTTTGCCAGGTGTCTGCAGCAATTATGGGCAATGGATTTTACCCACTCATAGTTTTCCATAAGGAGCCATAATTCATATTCTCCAAATAAAGACACTCATTCTTTGCTGTTTGTTGTTGCAAAGGAGTCAAGGCTTGATGCTCCTGCCTCCTGAGAGTGGCACATTTACTCTGATTGATAAACCCTGTGTGGCTTTCAACTGACAACTGACAACTGACAACTGACAACTGACAACTGACAACTGACAACTGACACCCGAGTTTGCCTTTGCAACGCTGGAGCAAACCTGAAGTCAGTAATCTGGTTAATTCAATCTGGCTATCTAGAGAAAATCTTAAACAAGCTAAACCTGTTTCATGAACCAGCCACCTGATCTCTTAAAGTCCATAGCTGTGTATTGTTAGGCCTCCTTCAGCTGTGGTCTCATAACAACACATGTTTCTCTCCAGAGTGATCTACATTCCTGACAATCACACCCTGTGTTATGTTGCAATATATTATATTTATTTTGTTCTAAAGTTTGACATTTTTTCTACTTTTAACTAAATATTACATACTGCATAGAGTTTAACTCATTGTTTAAAATTCCCTCTTGTATTTCATAAATATTCCCTCTTGTATTTCTGTTTGTCAGAAATTCATTTTAGAAAGCAAACTCTCCTGATGAGATCTGCTCTATGGAAGTACAGGGTGAAGCAATTAAGTACAAATAAAATTGGGAGAATCTCTACAGTACACTTGAACTATAAATACAAATGTAACTAATCAATATTTGTTACTATTTTTTAATTATTTTTTTAATTTTTAAGTTAATGCATTGTATGCAATCAAAAACAGAATAAATTCCATAACAGTATATATAAGAAAGCATAAGTCATATCATCACACTGACATAAATACTGATTTTTTAGCAGAAATTCATTCATATAAGAAAGCCAAATACCCTGGTGAGAGCTGCTAGTATCATGGGATTGAAGGTGGATTTAAAGCACAAAAATTCTGCATCTAATGTATGTTACAATGAATGATAAAACTGATACAATTTCTGAAAACAAATTAAATTAAGAAAAATATAGATCTTAAAATGATACATTCATGCACCTTACAGTTCTAATGGAAAAATACTGAGAGTAGCAGTACATACCTACGAGTGCTCAGGAAATAAATTCAGCATAGAAGATGCACTATTAAAAATCTGAAGTGTTATAATTAGTTTCAGTGACTTTTGAAACCAGGGATAAAACAGAGCATAAATTATAGGATTAAGAGAAGAATTAAAATATACTAACCAATTTAAGAAATTAACATCCACGTAAGAAGAAGAAGATAAACTTTTATCAGCATTAACAGAACTGTTTACAAAATATGGACATACATACAATAAAAAAACAACAATTACAATTCCTAACGTTCTTGCAGCTTTTCTTTGAGATTTGGTAGAAAGTGCACGATTCTTTTTTTTAGAAACTGTTTGTCTCTTAACCAAACCAGTAATTTTAGCATGCCTTCTAGCCACAACAAAGATTTTTCCATATAATAATAATATCACAGAGCATGGCAGAATAAATACAGTAATTAAATCAGCTATACCCCAGGCTTCACTGATCCCAAACTTACATTCTCCAAGACATATATTTGTTTTTCCTGTACTGCTAATATTTCCATTAAAATAAATTAGTGCCAAATTGTATAGGACTGCAAACAGCCACACAAACACTATAAACAATCTTGTCATTTTTACTGTTACTTTGGTGGAATAAAGTAAAGGGTCACACACAGCCAAATACCGGTCTATAGCTATACAAGCGACATTATAAACTGAAACAGAAAATATGATGTAACCAATTGTGTTGTAAAATATGCAGTTAATTTTATCAAAATACCAACAGGTCTCTATTAAAAAAAATAAGCAAAAGGGCAACACAGTCAGTCCAGTTAGAAAGTCTGCCACAGCCAGAGAGAGCAGGAGGAGGTTAGTTGGTGTGTGGAGCTGTTTGAAGTGAGAAATAGAAATGATCACCATCAAGTTTCCACACACTGTCAGTATCAGGACTGCTGCTGCAGAAATATACATCACCACATAGGTGACTGTAGATCGCACTTCTTTAATACAAGATGAGTTGTCAGCCTGAAAGCAATACTGCACTGCTTGAAATTGTGTTACTTCCATGAAATTGTAAATGAATTAAAAATAAGAATAACAAGCTTATCGATATTTAAGCACCTTAAAGAAAATTCATAAATATTGTATACAGCAAAAATAGATGCAATGTATACTGATTAGAATAACATGAATGTCTTTGTCTTCCACTCAGTGTCTATCCTTTGAAGTTTGTATGACATTTATGTCCGTAGTTGTTGTCCCCTCCTGCTGCTAATAAATCTTGATGACTCCTCTGTTTCTTTAATGACACCTGTTATCCTGGGGTTATGTGAGGAGCCTAGAGAACAGCCACATCCTCAGAGTAAACTAGGAGTAAACAGAAAAAGACAAAAACAAGGATGTCATGGTAGTGGAATGGTTAGCATTGGAGCTTTGCAGGACTGGAGCTCCTGATTCAATTTTGGACCAGGGGTGTGGAGTCTGTGTGGAGTTTGTATGTTCTCCCCATGTTTTTTGCCACGTGCTCCTGTTTCCTTCCACAGTCCAAAGACCGAATATAATTTGCCCAGCCTAAGAGGGGGGATCTGCTCTCATTGACAGCTGACACTCCTCCATACGCTCAAGTGAAAAATTAATAACACCAATGTAAACGTTGTATTTACAATTTGTTGATAATAAAAATGTTAAGTTCTCTAAAGCTTTCTCAGTCAAGTATGATAATTTACCTAGGGAGCTGTGTAAGCATGCGTAGGCAGCAAAAGATCAGCTAAACTGGGAAGATGTGACACTGAAGATATTATTAATAACCTTTTAAATCTGAAGGGAGATCTAAAGGGATCCACTAGATAGAGGTTCCTCCTTCTGGAGCAATTCAAAGGGAAAGACGTTGACTATTCGTTCGTTGTTATTAGAAAATCACTTCTATTCGAACATGTTGTGATATTTAGAAATTTAAAAAAGTCAATAGAGTGTCCATAATATTGCTATTTTAGTTTTTCAAATAAATGTTTGTTAAAAGAAAACTCGTGGCGCTAGCTGGATTTGAACAATTGACCTCTCGTTTAGAAGTGAGGCACTTAATTTCTGCAATTTCCCTTACGGGATCAATAAAGTATCTATCTATCTTAAACCATCACACCACTAGTTCAGTCACATGACAAGCGGTGAAACAGCCGTACACATATCAATAGATACTGAATGTGTCTATACTACTGTTTGTGTACATGAATATAATTATATCATTATTAATTTCTTTAGATATGTAATTCCTTATTATATTCCCTATATTCCCTATTAATTAAAATTCTAAACGTATGCTTGTTTACTCCTGTATCAAGCGTATTGGCAGAAAAGCTTAAAACTATCACTTTTCTCACAAAGTACTGTATAAACGTACAGTGACATGGTCAGAAGGAGCAAGGAGCACGTAAAAACGTTTCCAAAATAACCACATGTACGACTTTGATGCTTAAAATGTTTAGGGAGAAAGTGGAATACTGGTGTGTATTTTTTCTTTGAAATACCAAGACCAGCAATATACAGTTTACATAATATGTTTATGTTCCTAAATTCATATTGTTTATGACCTTCAGATGTGTTATGCTCCTCTTCTTTTTATGCTCAGCTACTAAAATTTCCCTTTAGTGGTAAAATTCCAAATAAATATTCAATACTAAGCGGATTAAAATGTGCACAGTAAAGACATTAAATGATTAAATCTTTCCACGACCGACCAACACACCACGAGTGCCCCTGTCGTTCATTTTGGCCAGCCAATCATGTACCGCGGTATGACGGGTTATGACATGCTATGATGGAATGATTTGCCAACGGTTTGTACAGCGCACTTTGAATGGAAGCATCTGCATTATTTATTATATTTTATCATTAGAGAAATTTGTTTTATTTGTTAAAATACAGTTTGTGCATTGTCCAGGAATTGAAGCCTGGACCATATTCCTGGCAGGTGACATTTCTACCAATGAATCAAAGCGTTGGTCAGTTTAAACAAGTTAATTTAAGACTGCATTTCATTTTCCATTACAACAAGCCTAAAAGCAAAACGTAGTTAAAACATGCCTGTTGTTTCCAAAATGACCACAAGTGAATGAGTAAAAGAATTCAATGCAGATGTTTATGAATGGAAGGTAAGGTTGCCTATGTGGGTCCTTTGGCTTCTCCCTCTCCAAAAGGATAAAAAATGGCTCAGCTGCAAAGCACATTTGTGCAAGATGTTTAATCCGGACACACCCAGAACTCATCCATTCACGTAAAATAAGAAAACTATATACAGATGCAGCCATTGAAAATGCACGGTACAGACATGTAATTGGCTACGTCCTCACGCATCGTACCGCGGTACCTGATTGATTGGCCGACAGAGGCACTCGTGGTGCATTGGTCTGTCGTAGAAAGATTTAAATGTCTTTACTGTGCCCATTTTGGTATTGAATATTTATATGGAATTTTACCACTGAAGGGAATTCTTAGTAGCTGAGCATAAAAAGAATAGGAGCATACTGTAACGCGTGTGGATGCCATAAACGATATTAATTTTGGAACATAAACATACAGTATATGGCTGGTCTCGGTACTTTAAAGAAAAAATACACACCTGTATTCTATTTCTCCCTAAACATTTTAAGCAAGTCTTTAACTAACATGTGAAATAGCATGTAAAAAAGTGGTAGTTTTAAGCTTTTCTGCTAATATAATATGGAATCGCGTATCTAAAGAAATTAATAACGATATAATTATATTCGTGTACTGTGACAGGGCTGTTTCACCTCTGCTCATGTGACTTCCCCAGTAGCCTGCTGGTCTATGTGCCGGACTAGTAACCCACAGGTTGTATATTCAAATCCAGCCGGCGCCATGACTTTTCTTTTAACAAATATTTCTTTGAAAAAATAGAATAGTGATCTTATGGACAATTGACTTTTCATATTTCTAAATATCACAACATGATCGAATTTAAGTCATTTTTAATAACAATGAATAGTCACCTTCTTTCCTTCTGACAACTGTCCCTGCTTCTGCTTCCTGCTTCTATCGTGTGTGTGTGTGGGGGGGGGGATCCCTTTAGATCTCCCTTCAGATTTAAAAGGTTATTAATCACATCTTCGGTTTCGCATCTTCCCAGTGTAGCTGCTCTTTTGCTGCCTGGGTCAACAATCACAAAGCTTTAGAGAACTTAACATTTCTATTATCAACAAATTGTAAATACGACGTTTAGATTGGCATTATTAATTTTTCACTTGGGTGTATGGAGGATTGTCAGCTGTCACTGAGAGTAGACCCCCCTTCTTAGGCTGCACACACGATCTTTTAAATTTTTATAGAGAAATGGAGACTGTACAGTATGCGTTACAATATAAACATTTATATTGATTTAAATCGCGTTTTGATTTAAATCACAAATGTGTGTTTAATTATATGTGTTTTTTGATTCACAATCAGACAAATGCAACTTAAATTGTTATCTTTGTCTTCTAAGAATCTTAATAAACTTTCAGCATAGCTTTCTCCCCGTTTAGATTTATATTTCTTGAGATTTTGGGATCAAACGTGGAAAGATTAGATTGTAATCGTTTTTATTTTTAAAATACATTTTAGAAAAGTGTAATCTATACTAAAAAGCTGTACACTACATGCTATATAGATACATACTGTATGTTTAGATATTTACATATTTAGACCCGGCGTGGCACCGAGAGAGGGAGGAGGCGCGGAGCTCAGTTCTGCTGCCTGGGGCGCTTAATACATCAATAGCGTCTGCATTTATAACTTAGTTTTTAAAATTAGTCAAGCAATATGAAGCATCTCTTTTTACTTTTAAGTCCATTAATTATCATTAAGCACAGCTTTCTCACCACTTAGACTACTTTTTGATATCATCCTTAGACAAAGTAGAAACTTGTTCTACTTTCTAATGACATACAAGTGGAAAGATTACAGATTTCAATTGTCTTTAATTTTTTTAGAAACGTTTCATCTATACAAACACCACAAAACTATTCTCGATTGTATTTCTGAATGTTATGTTACACTTAGTTCACTGTTTTAAATACATCGAATTAAGAAAGTTAGGTGTTAGCATAAACTATTAGTAATCAATAATATTGAATTTAGCACTGTAATAAGTTGTTGCACTTTCCCCCGGATCTTGTAAAAATATATTTAATTGTTCAAATATACATTAAATCTGACTATTATATAATAAGTTAAATACAAAACTTATTAACTTATTTAAAATATTTTGCTAACAATGTTAACTGTTTATAAATAATAAAATGTATTAACCAAGGAGTAGGATGGCACAGTTGTTAGTATGCTTTTAGTTTTGTTTCTTTTTCATAAATACAACAGTAGTACCTGATGTCCTAGTGGCCTTCAAAATTAAATTATGCATGCAAACCTGTGAACTAAAAAAGATAACTAAAATATCCATCCATTTCAAATGGTGGCGAAGTGGTTAGCATTGCTATCTTGCACTGGGGTCCTAGGTTCAATTCCTGCCATCCTGTGTGTGTGGGGTTTGCATGTTCTCTCTGGGTTACATGTTTTTTCTCCATATAATAATTAATAATTAATAATAATAATTGCTTACACTTATATAGCGCTTTTCTGGACACTCC